CTCCAATATCCTAAGGAACCAGGGCCTGAATGATTGTAGCTGTTAGGGTTAAATCGTCCTAACCTTAACTCCTATAGGCGGGCCAATGGGCAAGCCCATAGCTATTCCGTCCAACTGCCCGCAACATTTTTTTTACCAACCCCCATAGTTTCATTAGGTAATTATGATACAAATATACAGGCTTGACGAGAATTTATCGAACACAAACGTATATTCGTCAATTTATCTTCTAACTTAAATTGTTTCAGCTTAGATTTAGGGTTGGCATTTGGGGTAGATTTGCAGGTTAGGGTTAGGGTTAGGGTTCGGTTCAAGGTTTTACTGCCTCAAATCGTGAAGATCAAATGCCTCCTTCAGCGGGACCACGTACGAGGGCTTTTCAAACTGAGCCGCCATTTTTCCTCCCACCATTTGAATGTTAATTTACTTATATATACGTCGGTTGGCCTATTTCGCCCATTATAGACGAATTTTCATCCCTCTTTGTTTATTTGAACTACGACAAGGTCATCAGTGCACGACGCTAGCGCCGTTTTGAGAGCAGTAAAATTTGGCCTACACTTGACGACTGTTTCAAGGACCTTTATCCACGAAGTCGAAAATTGCAGTCGTTAGCGATTATGTATGACTTTTGATTCCCCGGTGTGGTGATTTTGTGCGCCTAATTTTATGCATTTGTATGAAGAATGTTTTTTGCTCAAACTTTTGGAATGATATTTTCAAAATAAAGCGTACCTCTTTCTCATACCGTTACCGCACAATCACCAGGAAGCCACCTTAGATAAAATCCCGGTTTTCGTTCTGGGGAAATGTTTAACCACATGTTTTGAATTGAGAAGAATAAGCAAGTACCCTAAAAAGCACCCCCTTGAAGGTTCTCGTTTCCGACGTTAAATAAAGGCGGAATGCATACGCGCCATTTATTAGCATTTCTAGCTCATCAACACTCATCAGCTAGCCACGCCCGACCCCAAGTCTGGATGATCTGAGATCCAAACCTGGAGTCGTCTTCATATTTGTTGTTTCCACTGCAGATCTCTCTCAGCAGAACCAGACAACTCCTTTTATGGTTAACAACGGGCGTAGATTGTTGGACGCCAGCATCCTCGGACGAAGGCCCATGATAAGCAAGTACGACACTTCTCGGCTGTCGTCAGACTTAAGCGCTCTGTTCCGTTCAGTTTATTTGAACTCACCGTTTGTGTACATGCGTGCTGTGGTATCGAGCAGATAGTAACTCCGCCTATTGACGATGACACGCGCCACTGAAGTGGAATAAAGGAAAAAAGAGAGTAGACAATGAAAAAAATACTCCTTTGGATTTTTTATGAGATAAGATACTGTCGCTCATGGGGGGAGTGGGCGTAGTACTCCAGGCTGCAACTGGGAGGGATGTGTTATTAGATGACAGGCGGTCTGGTCTTACTTTCGGTCCGCGTCTGTCTAACAAGCGTGTGTCTTTCCCAATCTGATATGAAACAGAGCAGGCGAGGTTGTAGTAGACTTCCGTTTGATTCGTACAGGCAGGTATGAATATAGCATGGCAAGTGCTGCAAGCAAAATGCCACAATTTGCGAAAAACTGGTAAGCACTCGCAAACGAGCATTTAGTAGGATTGCAATAGTTATTAACGTGCAGCAGGAAGAAGAGAACAACCAGCTGGCCTTCCTGGATGTCCTCGTTTGCCGCAAAGACGGTAGTGGCCTAAAAACTAAAGCGTTCAGGAAAACAATCAACACTATGCAAGTCCTGAACTACAACAGCAACCACCCAGTTGGTCACAAACGCAGCTGCGTAAGAGCGCTTTACCGGCGCGTTGTGACGCAATGCAGCGAAGAGGATGAAAAAGTTACTGAATTACAATTTCTTCGACAGGTACTGAGAGCGAATGGTTACCCGCGCAATTTTGTCAGCCAATGCATACGCAAACGAGGGGAGAAGCCACTTCCAACTGGCCCAAAAGTTTGGCGAGCTCTTCCGTACGTGAAGAATGTATCGCATCTGACCGCTTACAAAAAGTAGGTTCTGTAAAAAAGCGGTCACTTAAAGAGTATGTCTTTTTATCATGGATTTTGACTGCCTTTATAAATTCAAATATAGCCTATTGAAGACATGCACGAAAATATCTTTTCTTGTACTCGCTTGGTAGGGAATTACGCCGTCTATAAATTTTATACTCAAAGAAAGGGTATCCTTCGGTTTCGGGAAAAATTCCAAATTATGAGATTTTTTATGACTGCGAGGCGTTTATGCATAATACATTGTGTCCGTCCATTTATTAATGCTGCCTATAAGTTATACAACATGATCCTCGTCTATTGCAAAATTTTATGAGAACTAAGTGACCTCTTCCTCTAACCGTGGCCAAAAACATTGTTTTCCTTGAACAAAATTTACACTGCATGCTGCTTGGAAAGCTTGAATTCAGGTGTAGCAGTCGGCGAGATTCAAAATTATTTGACAATTTATAAACTTTTTTAAAACCAAAATACCCTTTCTTCAAGTATACAATTTAAATAGGGCATAGTTGTCTACCAAACGAGTACGAGAAGGAATATTTTCGTGCATGCTTTCTATAAAATACATTTGAATTTATACAGTCAGTCAAACTCATGATAAAAAATACGCACTATTCAGGTAGCCATTTTTCAGAATCTGCATTTTATAAGCGGTCCGAAGTAAGCTCATTAGAGAGCCGGCATCTTGGCCTGACTAAAAAGATTTGACGCTATACTGCACGATAATCAGTATTGCGACCCCACTTAATGTTGGTTAGTGAGTGATTACCAGTCTTTCGCAAATTGTGGCATTTTGCTTGCAGCACTCGCTATACTGTACTGCTGACCCAGTTCCTAACCAACGCGTTATCCCCATTCGTCCACACTATAGGTGTAGTGGAGCCAAGTTGAAATCATTGTTTATTCAAGTTAACTCAAGGTCAGACTAGCATATAAACACGCATTATTCAATGCAACTTAATCAATCAATAATGGAATGCTATTTTGGGAGCCTGATAATTAGCTTAAAAATGCAGCAACAATGACAACAGGCAGGTAGACATAGTTCGAGGGGGCTTCAACAGTTCTTTAGATGGGAACTCCGGAAGGTCATTGGATGAAGATCCTCAATTACAACTTTTTTGAAGTCCCTCTTCCGATTAACCAAAAGGAGAGGCATTCGTGTTCCGGCACAGAACTCGATAATCACCTGACGACACTGACCACAGGGTGAAACATAATCGTCCCGATCGGTGGCAACCGCCATCGCCTTGAATTCCTTAACAACCGCGGTTACTGTTGCACCAAAGGCACTGACCTCCGCACACCAACCACAGGGGAAGGAAGCATTTTCCACATTGACTCCCGTATATATCTTCCCATCCTTGCCGATCAGAGCGGCTCCAACAGGAAAATTACTGTAACAACAGTAGGCATTCTTCAAGACTGCCAAAGATGCTTTGCGCAGGGCTTCCAACTCGGGCGTAAATTGCTCGATGGACATGTCGTTTCAGGCGCGGGGGTAATTGCGTGCGTTTACTGCAGTGGAGCCTTATATATCCTCCAAACTTCAAATGCTATCCATGTGTAGGCGCTAATCCCTTTAGCTGCGGAAGCCTAGGCCCACTCAGCGACAGAAAAACTATTTAGGTGTAACCTTGAGGTTTTGAGTACTCTTCAACCAGCGACAATCAATCAAACGCTTGGCAGGTGTTTTAATATGAGCTGCCATCTTTATTTGCTCTCCACTCACGCGGGAACTTTGTTCTTTTAAACTACTCTGCCTACTTGTCTGTTTTCTTTGGCTGCCAAATGATCATGAGGTCATCTCTACAGTATACCAGCACCTTTTTGAATGAACGTAGGCTGCAGTTTTTTTATTGACGGTAGTCCATGGCTGTCCAGCTATTACACTTTCTGTCCAGTGTGTTTCTTCGACGTTAACTTTATCACGCCCTCCACCAAAAAAGTCTATGCAGTGGAATACTCTCAAAGGAAAACCAAAAAACAAGCTTTCAAGTTCCGGTTTTCTGTTGATAGACTGTCCTTCAATCTTTAAAAATAAATTCAAGATATGCAGTTACTGCTGTTGAAAAAAAGAGCACAGTAAGAATCAAGTCATCGCTCTCTCTCTTCAAAAGAATTGGTTGAATAGCGAAACTGAATCACAAACTATTACACCTCCCTCCTTTAGCTGCCTTCGCACGGATCGAAAATCATTACCCAAGAGTAGAGGTGCTGGAGCGGACGTTTTTTTAAAGCAGAAATAGTGCATAAACTGTAAGTTCTTGTTTACTTACTGATATGATTTGCTAGACACTGTCGCTATCGGCTACAAACCCTGACTGTTAAGAAATGTTAAAGGCATTATTCGTGTCAGCATCTACAGTACTGCCTAGAATTCATGTAAAATGTCGAGATATGCGAAAGAGTGATACTCTTTCGTTAATCGGCATTGAGTAAGGTTGTAATACTGAGTATTGTGTAGTCTACTCTGAAGGTATTTCACTCGCGATAGGATGTTGGCTTTTTAAAGAGCTTCGCTCTGACCGCTAACAAAAATTATGTACTGTAGAAAGTGGCTAATTAATTAGTGTACACTTTTATCATCGAATTTGACTGCCTTTAGAAATTCCAATATATTTTATGGAAAACAAAAACGAAAAATTTATTTCTTGTGCTCGTTTAGTCGCAAAGTACGCCTTCTCTAAAGTATATACCTAAAGGAAGGGTACCTATCGGTTCAAATAAATATTTATAATTATGAGCTTTTTTACGGTGGTGAGGTGTTCATTCATTATACGTCACATTCGTCAACTTATTAATGCGGCCTATAATGTAAACAGCGTGTTCCACATCTGTGCAATATGCTATGAAAACTATGTGACTTATTCCTCAAACCGTGGGCGAAAACGTACTTTTCCTTAAACAGGATTTATACAGCGCGCAGTTCGTAAACTTTTAATTCAAGTGTAGCAGTCAATGGGTCTCAAAATTATTCGTCAGCTTAGGAACCTTTTTCAAAACCGAAAGATGCCCTTTCTTTCAGCATAAAAGTTAAAGAAGGCGTAATTTACCACCAAACGAGTACAAGAAATATTTTTTCGTTTATGTTTTCCATAAAATGTATTTGAATTTCTAAAGGCAGTCAAAATTGATGATAAAATGGCATAATAATTAAGCAGCCACTTTTTACGGTACATACGTTTTATTAGTAGTCAGAAAGGGGCTTGTTAAAGAGCCGGCATCCTATCGTGACTGAAATGACTTCGGAATAAACTTTACGATAATCAGTATTAGAAACTTACTCAACGAAAGAGTATCAATCTTTCGCATATGTCGGCATGTTACACGAATTTTAGGCTGTGCTGTACACCCCCCCCCTCCCCCGAAGTTCCTCCAGTCCGTTTTTTGACTTCGTTTTCGAACTGTCTTCCGAGCATACTATTATTTTATGCGGTGATTTTAACCGTGGGAACCTACGTCCACTTACCCTGTTAGAATTTGACGACTTGGTTTCCTTTAACACTCGCACTGACCTCCCTCTTGATCACACTCTAATCAACCACCCCGAGCATTTCGCTGTCAAAAGTAGAGCTCGCTTGTCAGGCTCCGACCATTCTGTGTTATTTGGCCTACCAACTATTCATTCCAGCTATAAACAAGCGCTGTCATCAAGACCCGAGAAGCAGGTGGGCGACACGTTCCCACAGAATGTTTGCTTGCTCCAAACATACATATCTGAAAATATCGCTGCTTTGCTTGAACACTTGAACATCGAGTCGTGTTCTAGTTACCTCACATTTGCTGAATGAAATTCTCAATATTTGATGTTTTCTTGACACCGTTGTGGTTTAGAACTGACAGGATTTCTTCTCCCCATCTGAAATTTTTGGGACGCCAAAAGGAACGCTTTTACTCTAGTATTTGAAAGACTAAAGGGCGTTAACGTCCTTATAAAAAGGGGCGATTTTCCGACTTAACGACCCCTTTGTTAATCAGTTTTTTACCTCTTCCCCTTTTTTGTTTCCTCTCTCCTCGGCTGAACTTTGGAAGAGTCTATAGGTTTTAAGGCTAAGACGGTTAACCCTAAAAGCTACGGTCTTCCAGGCTCGGTTCCCTAGGAGGTGAGAGAAGACGGTGGGAAGGCCAGAGGTTTGGAGCATTGCAGTGTTCACAAGAGTTAGGAGAAAGTGGTCAATAGGTCTAACAGGGCGTCCAACCGTGAGACCCGCGTGAGAGAGCACCGGCGTGGCGACCGCCCCGTGCGAGGGCCAAATCTCAAGTGTCTTTCAGTGCAAGAATTGACCGAGGACCGCAGAACGCTTCAGGAAGCTGATTGGTCACGAGCGCTTCGGGACACTGATAGGCCAGATCTTTCTTGAGTGCGTGTGTACGCCCCAGCCACCCGAGGGCAAAGGTTGCGCCTCGCACGCGG